AAATGTATTACGACAGAGCTCTCAAATGGACCACTCGCTTACAGAAGCGATAGTGCCTTTAAATAAGTATGTCCTTTCCTTATTCTGCACGCTAGAGAATCAAATCCAATACTCTATCCACCCACTCCAGTTTCATTTCCATCCACATACTGTCAGTAAGAGATGTTGAGTTCAGCACTGGACAGCTCCTGCTCTGGCACAGAGCCTCAGTAAAGCTCTTATAGTCTATATATATATATATATATATACATATATATATATATATATATTCCAAATATCACATTCTAAAACTGATGCAGTTAAATCAGCACATTTAAAATCATTTGTACATGCTCATCATTATCTTTACCACACAATTGATCTATCTGCCATTACAATTTGCCTCTAGTAAGCAAAAAAGTAAAAAAAAAAAAAGAAAGAATGAAAAAAAGCACAAAAAATCGAGTCATTTCATTGGTATGAACAGCTTGCATGTGATTTTGTGAATGTTCACACTACTTCAATTGGCTTGGAACTCCTTGTTTAAGGATACGTCTTGGAATTGTATTGTTTGTTGGAGAATGCTGTGTTGGTGAGCTGTATTCCATTCTGTCTCTGGCTATGACCAAAACAGATCCCTGCATTGTAGGGTATTATTACATATGTCAGCCATTTTCCCCTTAGTTTCCGATTCGATTGTAAAGTGACATTGAGGGTACAGTTTCCAACAAAGCAATTTTTAGTGAAAATGACAGATCACCACATTTGCTTAATGTGTACCAAAATGCTCTAGATGTGTCTTGTTACCAAGCAATGGACAGAGGAACATTAGCTAATGTTAATAGTAGCTAATGAACCTAATATAAACAAAACCCAGCATACTCTCTTGACTATTTGGCAGAACAGTAGTGTTAATTAATGGCAGCATTGTACATTTAATAAGGAAACAAAATGCCATTGATGTGAAGCATCCCTCATACAAAGTACCAAATGTTACTGGAGCACTAGTATTGGCCCCTTGCGGAGAATGTTCCTGCTAAATCTGAGTGAGTGAATCAGTGAGTCAGTCAGCCAGTCAGGGAATCGGTGAGTCAGTCAGTCAGTCAGTCAATCAGTGAATCAGTGAGTCAGTCAGTCAGTCAGTCAGTCAGAGAGTGAATCATTGAGTCAGTCAGTCAGGCAGTGAGTCAGTCAATCAGACAATGAGTCAGTCAGTCAGGCAGTGAGTCAGTCAGTCAGACAGCGAGTCAGTCAGTCAGGTACGAAAACACTGAATGGCAAATGTTGCAGGTTACAGCAGCCATGGTCTGAGAATTAAATGTGTAGGCAAGTCAAGTTTTTTTTTCTGGTTCTGGTCCCCTGTTCTTTTCAAAAAAGGTATGCCCATGTCCATGGCTCTGAATACAAAACCAAACTTCTGCCTGGTTCATGCACTTATGCCGGTTTGTTTATGTGACTAACAAATACTGATAGAGGTCAATGATGAATTAATCCACTGATTTATGCTTTTTAGGGCTGTTTACTAAACTAAACAGCATAGAACACTACAGTTCTGAACAAAAATGTGCTTCAGCTGCTATTAATTAAAGCAACATCACAGCAGGCCATGTGTTACGGTGCTTTACCTGCAGTCAAGGGGTTGATTTTAAGTTTTAGAACTGGGACCATCCCTTATTTAGATAAGGTTTTAGAATGGAGTGGGTGGAGTCTGAGTATGGTGTGGGTGGGGTTTAGGCAGGGTGAGGGTGGAGTCTAAGCAGGTTGTGGGTGGAGGCTGAGTGTGGGAGGAGAAGAGGCGGGACTACACTGTGAACAGCAGTTTGTTATTACGAACTGTGTTCTCTCTGAGGAAACACACCTGCCTCCAACACACGCACGCACACAGCTGTGTTACCATGGAGACGCAGCCAACCAATGACAGGCTCTGATTTTCCCTCCAGGGACTCTGCTGACCTAAAAGGGTGGGGGGAGTCGGGGGCTGCATTTTTTTTCTGGTAAAGACATCTTTAGTGACTCTGAAGTGTAAATTATACCAATCCTGCCTCACCACTGCTAATTTTAGTCAAAGCATAGAGAGAGACACAGAGAGAGAAAAAGAAGTGTGTGTGTGGATGTGCGTGTATTTGTTAAGCAAAATATCAGGTTCAAAGCATGTACCGATACACTATTTCAGTTGTTAAGCAAGATAACAGTATAAAATATTATAATATACATTCTGTGTGTTTATGTATTTATATGTCATTTATATAGGACTGTGTGTGTGTGTGTGTGAGTGCTTGTCCATCTGTGTACATAGATATGTGCGTGTGTGTGTTTCTTCCTAAATTCTCAGTTGTGGACAGAATTTATGCTTTGTGCAGTTGAATCTGTTACTAGGCAAGAATGGTAAGTGTGGTCATCTCTCAGCCAATCAGGTGTTGCCGCAGAGCGCCTGTTTCGATTAGCCAATCAAATGTCTGAGTTGGTTGATCCTTTGGTTCTTCTGTATGAGTATGAGTGTTTGGGTGTATTTTTGAGGGAGTGTGTGTGTATGAGTGTGAAAAAACATGAAGGAAGTAGACGATGTGTATGGTCATATTTGAAGCGGTTATATGATGTATTCTGTTGCAAGGATTAGCACATTCAGATTGACTCGATTCACGTATGGATCCCCTACCTTAGAAGTTGCTGGCACAAAAAAAAAGGATGTCATTTAATATTAGTTATTTCTCACTAGACTAGAGGAAATATTTTAGAATTACATACATCCATATTACAAATGTTTGGCATACATGCTCTACGTAGAACACACTTCTGCACATTTTAATACATAATTGCTGTTTACTTGCTGAATTTAACGTACTTGAAAAAAAAATCATAAAATGTGGTGTGTGGAAAAAGTTCAGGCACAATTTATATTTTCTGTTTGTTAAATGCAGCAAATAAATAAAAAGTGTGCACTAAAATGTGTAGAAAAATTTTATATTTAAGTTTATTCCACTGTAGAGCAGGGGTGTCAAACTCTACCAGTAAAAGGGCCATTTTGAAAAATCTCATCAAATCTGAGGAAAAAATGTATTTATTTCATTTTTAATTAATGTTGTGCTGTAACCCGAACTGGACATTGTTTATTCAAAATATGCAAAAACTTCAACAGTAAAATACAGACACTTGTAGTAGACCTCGACGTATTAGATGGATTTCCCCAGGAGCTCGGTCTTTTAAACCTACATATTTGCTTGAACTAGGCACATGGCATCCTTTCTTTACTGTAAGTTATTAAGACTTGGGCTCAGTTTCCAAACTGCTGAGTTAATGTTGTGTTTATATTAGTTGAACAGCAGATGAAATGCATTTTGGTGATATGAATGCTGTGGAATTACATGGAATTGTGTAGAATTGAGGTGTAATCACCATCCCATAGACTGTTGTTGGGATAGGAGAGTTGGAGCACATTACGTTGCAGTGCATACTTCGGACTGTAGTGCAGCACATTGTGAAACGGGCTAATAGAGAATTAAAATACTTTTGTGGGCTGGATAGGATTGTGTGGCGGGCCTGATCTGCCCCACGGGCCTTGTGTTTGAGACATAGGCTATAGAGGATGAACTTATTTTCACTTGACCAGGGGTGTTCAAACTTTTTAGTAAAAGAGCTGCTATGAAGGTTTCTTTCAGCAGTGCCATAGAAGAACCACTTTTGGTTCTCTGAAGACCCGTGTTTGAACTAGAAATTGTGGTGAAGAACCTTTTAAAAGCTTAAAGAACATTAACACATTTAAGAGTCCTTCCATGAACTTGTACATGATGTGGAAGTTCTTTAAACTTTAAAATGGTTCTTCACACTCACCCATCTCTTTTACAAAAATGGTTCTCTGAAGAACCTTCCTTGAGTTTTTAGGGAACCAAAAATGGTTCTTCCACAATAGTGCAGAAAGAACCCTTTTTACAATCTCTATTTTTAAGAGTGTAGTGTATAATTGAAGGTCTGATGCCATTCCGGAATAATGGCTTTATGTGATGATATTCAGGAACGAGTTTGAATAAGAGTGATTCAAGAGAATGACTGATAGTGGTGATTCATAGTTGACTTGTTTGAGGTCTTTCAGTAAAGAATGATTTGTTTTTAGGTAATTTGTTTAGATGGTTTATAGATTTGCATACAGACAAATGAAGTCATTTTTTAGAGTGACACCAAGCCATTTATAAGTGTGTTTGTATGTGTGCGGACCCTTAGGGTAATTTTGTTATGAAATCACATAAGTCACAGAAAGCTCTCCTAAATATATATATATATACAATAGGGTGACTGTGTGTGAAAGAGAGAGAGAACGAGAGGCCACTAAATAAATAAAGTTAATCGTAAATCTAATCTGACCTGGTCATTAAACACAATTCATCATGTCATACCATTTAAAAGCCAAAATTCTTGTTTTTCGGTAGTTTTTCTTCTAAATGTAACAGCTTTGCCACTTCTACAATTATTTCTGATTTTTGATTGCATCACTGCGCACCAGCAGGCATGGAAAAATAATGTTAACCAAAAATATCAAGGTTGACATTCCCCTCCTACCAGTCCAGGACTGGTGTCAATGGATGACTTAGTGGGTCAATTCTCCACCAACGTTTTAGATGCACTTCTATAGGTGTGACAAAAAACAGTGGAAATTAAACTGCTGCTAATGCTCACCATAGCACTCGGTATAAAAGGCAAAATCATTTTTTCTGGGCTCTATTTCGGAGGTGTGCTGTAGACTCTGGGAAGATAACTTTTTTCCAAAATTGTTAGACCTATGGTGATTTGCTGTAAATGTTGTTCTCCTGTTGATTTTCTCCTGAATGTGTGAATTACCATTTTTCCTTAGTTGTATCCCATATACCATCCATGGATTTCGGATACCTGACAAATGTATTATTTTTTGCTGCGGGGCCTGCACTTTCATTGAAGGAAAATGCTCAACTTGGTCAGAGACCCTCCCTAATACCATGTTTCACTCAGAAATACGTCACAGTGTGGAAGGAAAACACAGAGACAAAACACACTTGAGGTGATCACTCGGGATTTCAATCAAGTTCTTACATTTTATTACTGTTGCTCCATCTATACAAGAACATATAATCTCAAATCATCCAGTTTACTTTCTGTTTCGTTTTTGCAAGGGATGTTCAGAGAGAGAGAGAGAGAGAGAGAGAGAGAGAGAGAGAGAGAGAGAGAGAGAGAGAGAGAAAGAGAGAGAAATAGAGAGAGAGTCTGTTGGTGTGTCCGTGCATTTGTTGAAATGGAATAGAATATTAGAATATCAACTGTAACAACATTATTTCCACGGCAACCAAAAATACACTACAGGGCCACTCAACAACTGACATGCAAGAAATCTGTTACAACGCTCACTCACACACACACACACACTCACACACAAACACCCTCATACTGAGAGAGTTGTGTGTTTGATGAATGTTAAAGTCTGTAGTTCACACTGAATCTATCTCCCTCTCTCTCACTCGCAAACTCTCTCACCCTCAATCTCACTCTCTCTCTCCGGTCATGCATGGCAACCACTGCTTTATTATTAAGAAGGCAGACTAGGGCTGCGTCCAGAAAACCTAAAAGTTACTTCTTCTTCCTTGTAATCCAGCTCATCTCCTCTGTGACCCGGATTTTATGATGCCATCTTGCCGGCTGTCTAAATACCGGAGAAGAAAAGAGAAGCTGCTCCAAATACCTGCCGAAGCCTCTTTGAGCGGAGGATATGTGAGTATTTGCTACTCAGGGGTATCTTCTCAGATTTTAGAGTGACATCAACACAAGAAGGCCCAGTGAGGATGGATAACATGACAGAAGCCAGCTATGATTTTTGTTCTGTGTTTTGTTTGTATTAATGGGAACACTCTGTTTACTTGTGCCAGCTCAACACATTTTAGGCAGATAGTGTGTCTATTTTGCACTTGATGTAAAACAAAATAAAAAACACAGAGGAGAAGGCCCGCACAAACGCAAATAGGCTGGCTGTGTGTAGCAACTGATTGGCTTCCAAGTGTATTAGGGGTGTGCTTTCAAGCGAATGTTGTGATAGGCTTAGTTTATCAATAATTGGCATCAATTTTGATGTCCTCTTCCCCCAACTACTGCTTGTCCACTCCTCGACAACACTGAACTGTGGCAAGGAGGACAGGAGTGGTAGCAAAAGTTTCTGGGTGCAGCCTCAGTCCCCAAGCGAACATGCACACACAAATACACCCATCCACACACGAACCCACACAGACACACAACGTCTTCTACACATCATACCAATGAACGGATAACCAAACACCGCAAAAAATACACGCACACGTTTTAATGCATCAACACCTTTCAGCACAACAGACTCTCTCACTCTGTGTGTGTGTATGTGTGTGTGTGTGTGTGTGTGTGTGTGTGTGTGGATTACATTGTGCTGTACACACTGATTTTTATTCCATCAATATGGGGGGGAGATCTATCAGAGGCGATGATGAGTCAGGAAAGACTAGAGAACAGAGGCAAAGACTTCAACCACTGCAAATGACCAAGCACAAACCAGACAGCAGCAAAGAGAAGATAACCAACAGAATGCTACGCCACCATACACACACGCACTCATACTCACACTCGTCTCAAAAGAGAGGGATGTAAGAACAGGGAGGTGAGAACTGTGTGTGTGTGTGGCCTGTAAAGAACCAGCTTCACTCTTTCTTTTGACCCCTCCACCAAATGGAGGGGTGAAAGGAGAGAGAGATAGAGAGAGAGAAAGAGAGAGAGATGAAAAGAGTTAGATTTTGGGGCTGGTGGTGGACTCAGACTTTGATCAAAGTTTAAATAACAATAATAACTGTGACAACAATAATCAGCAGCACGAGGTTCATCATCAGCATCATCATCATCATCATCATCATAACACTAACCTAAACCTCTTCATAATCATCATTATAACACTAACCTAAACCTCTTCATCATCATCATCATCATCATCAACATCACTTCTATATGCCTCACTCATAAATTTTCATCATCACTAAACCTCATCGACATCATCACTCTACGCCTTACTTATAAAGTCACCATCATCGTCAGTACAAATCATTGAGATGTTTAAGTCATGCTTGTTGTCAAAGTCAATATCATTATTATGATTATCGATATTATCATTATTGTTGCAATTTAATAACGGGCAGGGCTAGTGTCGCTAATTTTATCTGATCTTGTTTTTCGTTTTGTTATTTATGTTTCCCCTTTATTTTGTTTTGTTCGGTTCTGTCCGTTAATCTTGCACGGCAACTGTCTGCTCCTTACTAGGGGCAGGGCTGGTCTCCGTGGTTACAGGCTCTGCGGAGGCGGGCTCCTTGGTGGGCGGAGCCTCAGTCTTTTTAGCCTCAGCATCTGCCTTGCTCTCCGTTGCCGCGGCAGCAGCGGGGGCCGGCTCCTTAGCTGGGGCGGGCTCTTTGGGAGCAGGGGTGCTTTCTTTCGCTGAATCTTTCTCAGCGGCCGGGGCCGCAGCAGGGGCCGGTTTTTCCTCAGCCTTGGTGGGCGGGGCCTCTGGGCTCTTTGCAGGCTCCGCTTTGGCAGAGTCGGCACTCTTGGCATCAGTTGTTGCCGTAGCATTAGCCGCAGATTTCTCCTCCTTGGCCGCTGGGGCGGCGCTCTTCTCCTCTTCCTTGGCGGTGGTCGCATTGCTATCTGCAGCAGGTGTGGCATCTTTGGTGGCCGCCGCCGTGTCGTTGGCCGTCTCAGTGGTTTCCGTGGCGGCAGGCGCATCCTCCTTCTTGTCCTTGGGAGCTTCACTCTCCTCCGCCGATGCTCCCTCTGCTTTGGCGTCCTTTTCTTTTGCCTTCTCGTCGTTCACATTGTATCCCTTCTTCTTTTTGCTCAGTTTCCCTCCCATGATGCCTCAGTCCTCTGCAACGTACAGAAATAGAGAGATAGGAATTAGGAATTTGCATTCTTATTGGTAAATGAATAGATGTTTCATCTTAATAATAAAACTTCAACTGATATCGACCTTAGGTTTCCATGTTGGGTGAAGAGGAGGCTTGAATGACTGAGGCCAACCATTTGGGTGTGCTATTGAGCTAATGCTAGAGTCAACACTAGAGCTGACCAGTGAAACATTAGATGGTGAAGGACTCATCAAGGTGTTCTAAATGAAGTTAAATTGATAACAGACAAATATATTTTTATTTTTCTTGTCCTAGCTAACGCCAGCTATCATAGCTAGCCTAACTCAAGGTACTACACACACCCATTTCAGACTTTTCAGGCACATCTCTAACAATGTATCCCGCAATGTTAAAACAGTTTCATAATAGCAAATGCTTCTAGACTTCCAGATAAGGCCTAATAATTTCTAGGAGCTGAAAAATTCATGTTTGTTTTAATTATTTTTTATTTGCTGGAACCCTCATACTTGTTATATTTAAATACTTCAACCTAATAAAATACTTGATGTGGTAACAAGTAAAGTAACTAGCTTACTAGTTTAATTCACCCTAAATAAACACTTTGAATTAACCACTCTTTCAATTAAAGTACGTTTGAGAATAAAACTAGTTCAACTGCTTAGTTTAACTTCTTTTTTTTAGGTTTACCTGATGAACCACTTTTTACAGTGTAGTAGGAGGAATACTGCTCTTATTATTAAGATTAAAATCTTGAAACACCCCACAGAACATTGTCCCGTCAGAACTTTCTTTCGCCTGGGTATCTGGATAAATAGAGCCACGGGAGCTCTGCCATTAGTTAGGACTTCAGGAGCTGTACAGAAGGCCTAACACACCAGATTAATCAACAGCATAATTAGGAAGTGACCAGAGAAGCAACCAATCATGTTTTGATTTTCAGTGGGTGGAAACAACTGGAATTAAAGTAGACAATCAACATCACTCTAGGCCCTACCCTAACCAACAGCTTTCACTTACTACTGAGCTAACAATATCTGTAAAACTGCACCATACAAGTTGAAATACGCTTCAAACATCCATGTTTATTCAAGAACAGCCAAAAATGTACTTGTCAGCTTAGTATACTATTAGTATGCTAGTATACTATTAGAGATCCCATAGGAGTACTAGTTGAAGTGTCCTTAATCCATAGAGGTTTAGACATTTGTGGCCAAAACTGAAGGTCTAGCTCTAATGGTTATTTTGCCACTGAATTTCAGTGTTTGAATACTGGCAGTTTTGGAAGCTGGCTTTTGGAGCTTGAAGTTGATTCATTCTTGGAGAGTTGAGTAAAGGGATTCAATCATTCAGTAATTTGTGTCAGTAAAGTGATCCATTCTTTAAAGTGATACAGTCTCTGAGCCTGGTTATATTACTATTTCACTGTATTTAAATACATCTGTAGTAAAATCTGTAATCATTTCTTCTTCACCATCCGTTATCTCCAGCATTCAGATGAGAACGGCAAGTAAATCATTCTTAAGCAGCGAGGAGTCTGTTTGTACAACAAGACAAGCCTGGATAAGTCTCAGGACTCAGAATAGCAGTTACCACAGCAACTAGAGAGTCACATGACATGTTCACAGTGAGAAGAACACAGAGACACACTTGTACACACCAATTTAAACACGTGTCAGAACATTTTCGATTTAAAATTGAACCTGATTTAAAATCATAAAACCTGGTTGTAGGTATGTGTTCATTATCGCTTTCTACTCTGTCACGTACTTCTCTCACTCTCTCTCGCTGTCTTTCTCATTCTCCCTCTCTGTCTTTCTCCTTCTCTCTTTCTCTCTCGTTGTCTTTCTCCTTCTCCCTCTCTCTCACAGTCGTTCTCCTTCTCTCTCTCGCTGTCTTTCTCCTTCTCCCTCTCTCTCACAGTCGTTCTCCTTCTCTCTCTCGCTGTCTTTCTCCTTCTCTCACTCTTTCTTCTTCTTTCTCACTCTTTCTCCCTCTCTCTCTCTCTGTCTTTCTCCTTCTCTCTCCCTATCGCTGTCTTACTCCTTCTTTCTCACTATCTTTCTCTCTCTCTTTCTCCTTCTCAATCTCACACTGTCATTCTCCATCTCTCTTTCGCTGTTGTTCTCCTTCTCTCTCTCTCTATCACTGTCTTACTCCTTCTCTCTCTCTTTCTCCTTCTCCCTCTCACTGTCATTTTTCTTCTCTCTCCTGCTGTCTTTCTCCTTTTCTCTCTCTCTTGCTGTTTTTCTCCTTCTCTCTCTCACACTGTTGTTCTCTTTTACTATCTCTTTCTTTCTTTCTCTCTTGCTATCCTTCTCCTTCTCTCTCTCTGTCTTTCCTGCTGTCTTTCTCCTTTCTCACTCTCACTGTCTTTTTCCTCACTGTTTTTCTCTTTCTTTCTGTCGTTCTCCTGCTCTCTTGCAGTTTCTCTCTATCTGTCTCTTACCTTTCTCCTTCTCTTTCTCTTACTCTTTCTTCTACTCCTTCTATTTCTTTCTGTCCTCCCTTGCTCTCCTTCTCTGTTTTTCTCCTGCTCTTTCATTGTCTTTGTCCCTCACTTTCTATCCCTTTGTGTTTTTTTTTTCACTGTCCTTCTCACTGTCTTTCTCTCGCTCGCTCTGTTTCTTTCTGTCTCTCCATCTCTCTCTCTCTCTGGCTTTGTCCTTTCCCTCTCTCTCTCTGTCTCTATTTCCTGCTCTCTCCCGTTCTCTCTCTCTCTCTCTCTCTCTCTCTCTCTCTCTCTCTCTCTCTCTCTCTCATCTTCTGTTGGCTGTCTTAGTTAGAGTTTAGCTCACCTCTACGGGTTACGACCATCTGTTTACACAGTCGCACACACACACACACACACACACACACACACACACACACACACACACACACACACAGAGAGAGAGAGAGAGTCAGTCCTTTTATACCAGGTGACAATAGTGAGTCTGTATGTAAATGGGACTTTGTTTCCTGTTTGCAGAATATGGAAATGTGCTGTACTCTGTATGTGTGTGTGTGTGTGTGTGTGAGACGCATGCCAGACAGAAAGAATTCAGTTGTCATAAATAATCAATATGTGACTGAACTGAGCACACTCCTGCTCTTACAGAAATGACAATAGAGAATTGCTCTCTGCTCACTGCTGTGTGAACACACGCACTTGTGTCTGTGTCATACAGAAAACAATAGAGTCAGCCTCCACCATCACCATTCATGACAGCACTGCACTATTCCAGCATGACACTACAGTGTGTGTGTGTGTGTGTGTGTGTTCACCACTCATATCTTGGTCAAATAATCTTTAATGTTGTTGTAAGAATATAATTATATTTTACTTCAGTTACAATACATTTTTATTTGTTTTAAGTCATTTTTTCAAGTAAAAAAAGGATAGATTAGCAAGTCATTTTGCTTGTTTCAAGCATATTCCAGAACAGAGAGAGATAATGTATAGAACTAATTTCACTTAAATGACTTAAAAGAAATAAATAATGTCTGGGGGTCTCACTGACAAATGATAAACAGTAGATATATAGAGTGGATTTAAGATTATTTCACTTGCAAAGGTATTTTTTTGCAGTGCAAGACCAAATTTGCCCACCTAAATGTTAACATCATCAGAACTATTAGGCTTTGTTCAGGGTTCAGTTTTTTTGGCAAATCCAGCTTGAGCAAGAAAGATTTTCTGCAGACTGAATGGCAAAAATCCACATCTGACATCAAACCCTTACACTTTATATGATTTGATAGTTGATTCCAGTATGAGTATACGAGCAAATGCCACCATACGAATCAGATTTGGTCACTTGCAATGTGGACACTAAAAATTAGATACAAGAAACAAATTTGCCCAACTGTGTGAACAAAGAGACACTGTTCCAGATGTAAGCATTAGTGCAGGAACAGCACAAAACATGCCTTGAAGCAACTGCAAAATGCGACCACAACGCACCTGTATTTTCAGTTTACTAAGACTAGCCCTGCCCACTAACTGCTTGTTTGTGAGGCTCAGTTTTTAAAAGGCACAGCGAAATATCAAAATCATCAACAAGCTTGAGACAAAACAAGAGGGGTGTTATTTTAAGAAAATATAGTTCGTGAAATAATAACCAAACTGTGCATGCATATTGCAGCTACATCATGGCACATTTTGCGCTACATCTTCTCTGGAGTCTAAACAGTGTTATTTTGATGGTAAACATTCTTTTAGCATGTGTTGAAGGATCGCGCCTTGGTCTGACAATGTGTCTTTTGAGACATCAATGCATATTTAAGCCGTTTTAAAAGGAAAATCCATGCAAAGCACATTGCAGCAAGTTGATCAAACTCAAGTGGAATACATAATCAGCTGCACGTGTAATATCTTCAACTATGTTTTGCACAGTCCCATGTTTGCGTGGCCCTCTCTCACATGGCATATCCATGAGGAAGAAATGTGCCCATTGCTCTTCATGCTGGAAATGACTGACCTACACTGAGTCTTGTCTTCAGTAAGTGAAATGCATGCTCATTAGATTTCAGGTTGGGAGATTGACTTGAACAGTCAAGAGCAGGGGTGCACAATTCTGATCATGGAGGGCTGGTGTCCAGCACAGTTTGGAGGTTTTCCTGCTCAAACACACCTGCTTAATCTGGCAATTAACAGATACGTGTAATCAGGTGTGTTGGAGCAGGAAAATCACCAAACTATGCTGGACACCAGCCCTCCAGGACTGGAGTTGAGTGAAGAGCCTCCTACTTTCTGGCCCTGAAAATCTCCATAGCTGCTTTTGCATTTGCTTGGAGTGCATAGCCAAAACAGTCACAATTATATCAGCATCTAATTACGCATGAACTTCACCGTGCCTTCCGGCAGAGTTTAGTTCCAGCCCTGCTCCTCAAGATCTACTTCCCAGAGTTCAGTTCCCGGCAACCTAAATCTACTACACCTAATGTAGTTTTTCTAGGTCTTCCAAAGCTGCTAATTAGCTGGGTCAGTGCTTTGGAAAAAACGTGGATGTCCAGGAGACA